ATTGAATTCTCCAATTAAAAGTTATTAAATCTAACTAGGGAAAAACAGAAAGTATACACTGCAGACACATTTCTTATGAGAAAAGCAATAATTTAAAAAAGAAGCCAATTTAAAAATAAAAATCCAATCTAATAAATCAATGCAAGCAAAATCTGGTTGTTTGAAAAGACTAGTAATGAAATAGGTAATATTATAGCAATTATAATTATGGAAAAAAGAAAAAATATTTGGAACAAAGAGGTTATAAGAGGGAGTAGAGCTATGACTAGTCTCTTGGGGTTTTTTTTCATCATTATTGGTTTATTCAGATGTTTCTTCCATTTAGAACAATATTGGTAGATGAAATTTATATAGTTTTCAAACACATTGGTGCAAACTGCCTTTGGTATAAGAATTAAAGTTATCATACTACTGTAAGATGGCACTATTGTAAGTTTGGCACTTACAACAACCCTGATGATATGTACTAAAATTTGAACAAAATGGACAAAGTCCTAGAAAAGTTGATTTACCACACTTGACATAATTATAACCACTAAAAAAATTGAGTTATTATTTAAACATCTGCCACCAACAATACTTTAGGCTCAAGTGAGTTCAATGGCAAATTCCATAATTGGTTATCTACATGAGAATAAAGTAAAATGTTCACAAATAACAATTCCAAGTATATAAATGTGAAATAATCTCTAAGAGGCTTTGAAGAAAATATAGAGAACCTTTACAAGAAAAATATTGATAAATTCAACTTATTAAGAACTTGCTTACTAAAAAACAAACAACAACAACAAAAAAAAAAAACCAAAAAAACCATGAGAGAAAAGGTACTTGGCAACTCAATTATCAAGACTAGTTTCCGAAGCATATTAAAATACATTACACTCCAACAAACAGCAAAATACTAGATATAACTCAATAATCCATTTACTACAGACTAGCTAAAACAAACAAAAAAATACTGGTACAGCCAGGCCCAGTGACACATGCCTGTATGTTCCTAATGGCTCTGGAAACTGAGGCAGGAGAATCACAAGTTGAAAGCCAGCCTCAGCAACTTAGCAAGGCMGAAAGCAACTTAGTGAGATCTTTTCTCAAAGAAAGCTGGGGATGTGGCTTAGTGGTTAAGTACCCTGGTTTAAAAAAAAAAAAAAAAAAGTTGGTACAGCCACAGAATGGAAAATTGTTTTCCTGTGCTATATAATGTTTTCTATATTCTTATTTATGGAGGTTTTCCAAATATATTAAGAAAAAACATGGGATAGCAACAGAAGAATATATCAATTTGTACATGCAACATATTTTTAAAAATGCCTACAACCTAATGTATGAGGAAATAAGTACCCTATAGAAATAATGGGATAAACATGACTAAATAAAGAAAACATATGGTTGACTAAAAACACATGAAAAGATTTTCAATTTGTTTAAGTAAGCAGGGAAATAGTTTGTAAAGACAATGTACCATTTCACTTCCACCACACTGGCAAAAATCAATAGGTTGGACAAAGCCAAATAGGTTGGAGAAATGGTAGGTTTCATTCACTACTGCTGAATGATAAATCAAAACCACCATTTTGGTTACAAAAAATTGTGCTATGAATAGGTAATTATGATTATAATGCATTCCACTATTGTCATGTATGTAAGAAAAAAATCAAAACCCACTATTTTGGAAATGTTACATAGCATCTAAGAAAGTCCAACACAGTCTTCCTATGGACCTAGCAATTCCACTACTAATGCGCCGGAGTAAAAATATTGTATATATGCACTTTGAGCCATCAGCACTAATTATAACAGCCTAATGATGGAAATAACCAACATGGATAAATAAAGACTATATTCTTTTTTAAAAATATCTTTATTTATTTATTTTTTAATGTGGTACAAGGATCGAACCCAGTGCCTCACATGTGCAAAACAAGCTCTCTACTGCTAAGATATAACCCCAGCCCTCAGACTATTCTTACCAACAAATTATATTTCATTGCAAATGAATGAACTACAACAGGGRTTCCCAAAATGATGATAATGCTAATATACATGATTCTTTCAAATACTATATAATGGTATGCATTGTCAACCAGAAGAGCTGCAAAATTCAGTGAGGCAATGTTTTCCAAATGACAAATGGAGTAGGAGAAAAAGCATATTTTTCCTAAAAGTGTAATACAGACCAATGGATGTTAATGTCACAGAGCAAGGGAAGTTTACTAATATTGTTCCATATTCTACATTGATGCTACCCTTTGAGAAACTGTTAGTGACATAAATGATAAATATCAAAAAGAACATAACTACCTCAAAATGATATTCAAGTATCTCTCCATTTTCCAACCACTTTTTCTCTATACTTTTTTCTCTATACATTGCAGTAGACTCAATGTGAAAATGTGAAGTAGAATTCTAGGAGACATTAAAATTATTTGCAAAAATGTAAAGCAGTGCCATTCATTGCTAATACTGGAGGTGGGTTGTTGTCATTAAAATGTTATCTATATTGGATGTAATGGGCTTTTTTTTAAAGGTACAAATACATACATTTTAAATTGGTCAGTTCTAACATCTAGTGTAGTAACTACCAACAGATACTACCCAAATAAATAAAAGATCTTTGGTATCCTCAATAGTGTTTTAAAGTATAAAGGAATCCTGAGACCAAAAGTTTGTGAATTGCTCAACTACAGGCACATGCTTCAACATGGATGAATTTCAGAAACAATGTTTGATAAAAAATAACTGACAGAACATATACTATGGTTCTATTTAAATAAAGTTCAAAAGCAAGTGAAAGTAAACAATATGTTAAGAAAAAATACATGATAAAACTGTAAATAAAGACAAGGGAATAATTAACATAAAATTGATAATAATCATGGTGATGGAGCAAGGAATTATTTCCTCCTAGAACAGACACAAAATGTTTCTAAGGTTCCTGTGGTTTTCTATTAAGCAACATACAGATATGTACTTTTTAAAACTGTATATTTTTAATAGCATTTTTCATACAAAACAAATTTTTTTTGGAAGAAGAAACAGACATACCTATTGTCCTAGAAGGAAAAACTCAAAAGAATGTCTCTTCTCAAATTAATCTATAAAATTCAATGCAATCTCAAACAACATCCCAAAGAAGATTTACTTGAAGAGATGGCTCTAAATTTAATCTGGAAGAAAAATGTAAAAGAACCCAAAGCTTTTTCAAAAGAAAGAAAGCACCAAAATATATTATAAAGCTATAATAACTAAAACAGTACATGGCTCAAAGAAGAGAGTTCGAACCCAATAAATACATACACAAATGATATTTTGCCCTGGCCAAAATATTTGACTTTCTTATTCATCAAAGAAGATAAAAATTAAATAGAATTTTCTTTCAATTATTAAATGGGTAAAATATTTASAAATACTTTTATTATCCACTGCCGACTAGCAGGAAGATTAATACATGTTTTGAGAACTCAAAAGAGTACAATTATTTGAAATCATTCTGATAAGGACTCTAAAACACTATCTGATCACTTGAGGCATGTTTATAATAGCATCAAAACAACCAAAACCAATCATGGCAGCATTGTTACAAAGAAATCTTGAAAATAAATGTCCACTAGCAGAGAAACAAAATACATGCAATGTCTAATTATACTAACTATATCATACTATATTTATTTAACAAATATTCTCAGGCAAGGTTTTAGGCACTCTGTGGATTTTAATTCATTTAAGCAAATATGTCTAGGTTACAGGATATGCTCATAATTTATATCTTTTTAAAAGAGCATTAATTACATTTGGGCAAATATCCTGAAAATATATTTCAAATACTGTGTTGTGCCTTCCTTAAAATAATTGTGGATACTTAAGTCACCTTTTATTTTTTCTGGCCTGGTTAGTTATTGATGTWTTGGAGATATGATATACAGTTATCCATTTCTACAAGGCAGGTTGTCAAGAGAAGAGTATTCTTACACTGTTAATTTGCTTTGTTATAAACCTCCCGGATAGAATTACACCAGCCTCAGATTCTACCACATTGACTATCTCACACACACTCCTCCCTTTACAATGCTTTCTCAGGGGAACACTGTGGATCACTGTGGACCCTCAGATCACTAATGCTATTACAAGTAGTATCGTGTACTTGCACAATACTTAAGCTTAAGACACATTTTCATAAGCCCTACCATTCTAATTTTACCTAACGGGAAGAAAAAAGAAAGGTAAAACTGGTTTAAACATGAATTTCAAAAAGACAAGTGGTAATTAAGAAAAACTTGAGAATTCTGAAACTCAAATTTTGAGGTTCATCAATCACGTTCTCCCAGAAAGTGCTGGTTAGTGCCGCCTTCAGACCAAYTGCTGGGTTGCAAGGACCAACTTTTAGAACATTCCTTATGCATTATTCCAGCTAGTTCTTAAATGACTTTCCCTATGGGCAGCCCCCCCCCCTTTTTTTAGAGGTCACGTACTGCCATGGTCTCTGAAGAAAGAAACTTGAGTAGCAGGCTTCATAACGAACCCTTAGGAAACGATTTCCTGGCAGTCCAGACCCAATGAGGGCCACTTCAGCCAAGAACTTACTGTCCTACTCGTGAGGATGCAGTTGCCTTCTGAAAGGCGAACCCAAACGAAATGTTTAAACCGTTTCAGACTTTCTGCCTGAAAAGAGGGAGAAACCAATTTCGAAGCCCTGCACGGACCTGTGCCATGGTTAAGATGTGTGTGCTGGCGAAACTGAGACTGGCCATAGGTTGGATAGTCATGGGAAGGTGGCTAAGCAGAAAGAACACAGAGCAATGCCGACCCCTCCCACCCGCCGCAAGGCAAACAGGTGGTAGGAACGCGCCCGCTGCCCATCATCGCAGAACCCCAGGAACGCAGCCCCCGGCCGCGGCGCACACGCCCGAGCAACCGGCGGTGCGCTCACCCTCAGGACCCGTTCTTCTCCGGGTGTCTGCGGAGGTGAGCGACCAGGACGCCCCGGACTGAAAGGGGTTTACCTGTCCTTGGTGCGGCCGCTGGCCCCGAGGACCTGAGATCACTGCGCACTTTTCTTCCCATGCTTTTCCAGCGCGTCCGCTCCTCCTTCCCCGGCCTGGCAGCCAGCTGGCCAGCAAGTGTGCACGAAACCAGGCGCCGTCCCGGCCCTCGCGCAAACAGCGCCTCGTCAGAGGAACGCCGCGCTCCCCGCGCCCCGGGTCTCCCCTCAGAGTCACAGCCGACAACCTGCCCCAGGAYGCCCGCCGCCTGAAAGACCGCGTCGACTTTCTCACGGCCGGGCTCCAGCAACCGGAAGTAAAACCTTGTGGCTCAAGGAAAAAGAGGAGGGGTGCGGAAAAAGAGAGAAAGTGAAAACTGAACTGCCGCGTCCCCTGGAAGACGGGAACCAATCACGGGGCGAAACCAGGACGCAGGCGCGAGCCGCCATTGGCGTCCACGCGGCGCTCGCTTTTCGTCTCTGCGCAGGCGCGAGTCTTAGGCTAGAACGGCCGAGTTCGCATCTCGCGAGACTGGCTCCCGGATGCAGAAGACGCTGGCGGGAAACGACTGGAGACTAGCGGTGGCTTCTCTAGGTGCGGTATCCAGTGAAGTTCGCCTACACCTCGCCTTCCCTGCTGCCTGATCCTCCTGCCACTTAAGACATTTCCAAAGTCTCGCCCTTATCCATGTAACACGCGGTCTCTGCGCTAGTTCCCTAGAACAGCTCTCCAAAATCCATATGGAGAGAGCAAAGGTGACCATAAATAACGTTAATTCAGGGCTATCCTTACCCAAGATAAACCTCATTGAGAGAGATTAAGTGCTGTTGAGCTAAGTATATTGACACGTTTGGGAATACAAAGATTTAATCACTTGGTGGGATAGTTCTCTGTTTATTGTGACCAGGTGCTGCATTAGACCCTTGAATTAACAACCATGAACAAGCTGGACAAAGACCCTGTAGCCATAATCGAATTTAGAGATGGGTGAAAAACATAAATCTACACCATAACGAAGTAGAATTCCTATAATACATGCTGTGAAGACAAACTGGAAATGCTAGTGGATGGAGTTGGAAGCCAGAGGCCAGAGCAGAAGAAGAACTACAAGATCTCAATGAAAAGGGGATATTCAAAAATCAAAGATGAAGATGGCCAGGTGAATCCTAAGAAGATCTGAAAGTAGAGCTTTCACACCTGAAGGCACAGCAAGTGTAAAGGCTCTGAGAAGTGAAATTAAGCTTGTTCCAATAATTGAAGGTAAAGAATGAAATTGTATTAAAAATGCAAAGAACCAGAAGGTATAGCTTCATGATTTATCTTTTTTTTTTAAATAAATGTCTTTTTTTTTTTTAAGAGAGAGTGAGAGAATTTTTTTTTTTTAATATTTACTTTTTAGTATTTGGCGGACACAACATCTTTATGTGGTGCTGAGGATCGAACCCGGGCCGCATGCATGCCAGGCRAGCACGCTACCGCTTGAGCCACATCCCCAGCCCTTCATGATTTATCTTAAAGCAAATATTCATAAAACCCCCACCCAGGTCAAGAAATGGAACTTTGCCAATATTCTGGAAGCTCCCTCCCCCTGGTGTTTCCCAATCAATAGTTGAATATTCCCTTTGAGAATTAGTGAAATTTAATTGCCATTGCAATAGTACTAAGAGGTAGAACTTTTTTTTTGGTTGGGGGTAGCAGGCATTGAACTTAGGGGCACTCAACAACTTAGAGCCACATCCCCAGCCCTATTTTGTATATTATTTAGAGACAGGTTGTCACTGTGTTGCTTAGCACCTCACTTTTGCTGAGGCTGGCTTTGAACCTGCTGTTCTCCTGCCTCAGCCTCCCAAACTGCTGGGATTACAGGTGTGGGCGCTATGCCTGCAGAAGAGGTGGAACTTTTAGTTAATTAGGTCATAAGTACTCTTTTGTGTATGGATTGTTGCAGKAGAGGTTTAGTTATCATATAGTCATGGGTTCCTGATGCCTGCTGTGGTCTCTCWCTCCCTGAAAAACCAGCCTCTGTCTCAGAGCAAAGCCTGTCCAAGGAAGGGACAGGACCTTTGTCCTTGGAAAGACCCACAGAGCACTCCTAGGCACATTCCCACCCTGCTAAGTGGTTTATCTACAAATAACAGGAGAGATCTGCGCCAGGTGTACCTGATTCAGTCAGGCTAGGTGGAGACCCATAGTAACCCCCTAGCAGCCACCAATCAGCATGAGACAGGGAAATACCTGGGATGCCTGATGACCCTCCCAGTAGTTTATGGTGGTTGATAATGCGTTGGGAAACCTTGTAGTTCAGCAGGAACACCCCTCTTGGCTTAAACCAATCCGTTCAAATGAATCCCCCTTTTGTAGTAACCAATCACCTCTACCCAACTTGTTCCCGCCAGTGAATGTGCTAATCATGTTTTAGAGTTGTTATTTGATTTTCCCTCGGTGTGTGATGATTTGCTAAGAGATGCTATGATGTATTTGGTGGGGGGGGTCCCTGCCTTCTCCAAAGAATGTATAAAACTGCTGCAAACCCTGGGCTCAGGGCCTCTCAGCGTCACTGGTTGCTGTGTGTGTGTGCGCCCACACGCAGAGGACGAGCTAGCTTGCAATAAACACCTCTTTGCTGTTTACATCGATCTTGGTCTCTGGTGGTCTTTTGGGGGTCCCGAATTCGAGCATAACATCCCTATGTGCCCACTTGCCCCTTCCCCYGTGTAATAATGCAACATAAAGGGCTTCACCAGATGCAGCCCCTCAGTCTGATTTTCTAGCATTCAGAACCATAAGCAGAATAAGCTTCTCTTGTTTTTAATTGACTCAAGTGTGTTGTATTCTGTTAAAGCAACAGAAAATGGGCCAAGATACCACTCTGGCCTACCACCAAATCTAATCACTACTCTGACTCCACCTGAAGATCTTTTCCTTACTTAAAAAAAAAAAAAAATTGCCACCTAATATGACTCCTTAAACTTTATCGTGTATTTGCTGGTGATTTGAAATCAACACAAATTAAATAGTTTTCTGCATGTGTATGAGACTCATTAGGTTTTTATGTGTTCCTGTTCTTATATTTTTCACGGCTGTGTATATGGATGTAGCACATTTTCTTTACTCATGGCATTTTGATGGACATTTAGATTGTTTCCATTCTTGAATATTTTAAATAATGCTGATATTGAACATTCTTATTTATATCTTTTGAAGCACATGTGCACTTATTTCTGTTGGGCATACACCTACTAATGGAATGCTAAACATGGTTATTTGGATTTTTGTTTTTGCAAATATTTTCCCTCAAACACACACTATTGGCCAAATTCTCTTCCTCATTGATATTGGCCTTGGTTAAGTGAGTTCTTTGGATGATAGAATATTAGCAGAAATTACGTGAAAGTGTTAAGTGCATTTGTGTAGTTTGCCTCTGCTCTTATCCCCAAATGATTCACATGAAAAAAACAGGCCTCATGTAGCTATTGCCCCTTCAGCCCAGGTCTCCAGAAGAAAGCTATGTGGAATTGGATGTGGTGTTGCACACCTCTGATCCCAGCAATTTGGGATGCTGAGGCAGGAGGATTGCAAGTTTGAGGCCATCCTCAGCAATTTAGGCCGTAAGCAACTTAGTGAGACCCTGTCTCAAAAAATAAAAATATCTGAGGATGTAGCTCAGTGGTAAAGTGCCATAGGTTCAAACCTCAGTACAAAAAYAGCAACAACAAAAACCCCTATGTGAAACAGATGTGATGCCAAATCACAACTCAACACACTTAGATTAGCAGAAAGTTAGATGTGTTGAAGATTGATGAGTCTGATCATTAATGCTGTATCAGAAACCACTGAGTTTGGGTTTTTATTATGGATGATGATGCCAAACTTTTGCCAGTTAGTTTTATCTAGCTTTTACACCTCCACAGCAGCTTATTCTAGTTTTTTCTACATCCTTGCCAATGCTTTTTAATTTGGTACATTATGGTTTGACTTTGCATTGCCTCCAACTAATATATTTTGGCTGTTCTAAGTGTTTTGAATTTCTGTATACATTTCTGAGTCATCTTATCCATTTTCTCATCTTAAAAAAAAAACCTGATGGAATTTTTTGTTGATATTATCCTGAATGCATAGATAAAATAAATCTAGGGGAGAATTAACATCTTAATAGTCTTCAAATATATAAAATATGATAAATTTAATTAGGTCATTAAAATTTTTAGGTATATTTATAAATTTCAGTATACAAGTCTTGCATACATTTTGTTATATTTATCTCTTCTTATGTTTTGGTGTTGTCCTTAGACATTGAACATACAAAAATTTGGGGKTTTTTTTAATATTTATTTTTTAGTTGGACACAATACCTTTATTTTATTTACTTATTTTTTATGTGGTGCTGAGGATCTAACTCAGGGCTTCGTTCGTGCTAAGCAAGAACTCTAGCACTGAGCCACAAYCCCAGCCCCCAAAATTTGATGTTAGTATATATAAACACAATGGATTTTCCAGTGTTAATCTTGTATCTTACAGCTTGCTAAACTCACTTAATATATCTATTAGCTATTGTGTGTTTTCTAATGAAACTCTTTTAAGACAAACTCTTTTAAGACAAATATTTTCTGCAAATAAAACTGGCTTCATTTCTTTTTTTCCAGTCTAGATTTTTCCTCTTCTTACATTATTTAAGCTCTTCTAATTCGAGTAGGATCAAATATCCTTGTAAGCTGGATAACAGATAAAAGAAAAGCATTTATAATGTTAGTTTTGATATTTTGTACACCCTTTTTTTAAATTAGAAATTTCCCTTTTATTCCTAATTTTCATAAATGGTTGTTGAATTTTGTCAAATGCTTTCTTTGTATCAAGATGATATAATATATGTATGTGATTATCATGTGTTTTATAATTGGATATATATCCCATTTTATATAGCCCATTAATGTGGTGAACTGTATCGATTGGTTTTCCAATGTTAAACCAACATTGAGTTCCTGGGACAAACCCAATTTAGTCAGAATACATTATCCTCTTTATAATATTACTAGACATGAATTACTGATACTTTGTTAAGGGCTCTGGCACTTATGTTCATGAGGCTATTGAAATGTGTATTGTTTTTCCTATAATATCTTTGACTTGGGTATCAAGATAACTCTGATTTCATGCAATGAGTTTCCAAAGTACTTTGATTAAAATTAGTAGCATTTCTAGAATTAATCAGCAAAACCATCAGGGCTTTTATTTTTCTTTATAGGAAGGATGTTTTTTGTTTTGTTTTTGTTTTTGTTTTGTACCAGTGATTGAACCCAGGTGCACTTAACCACTGAATCACATCTCCAGCCCTTTTTATTTTCTGAGCCAGTGTCCCACTAAGTTTCAGAGACTTGGCTTTGAATCTAAGATCCTCCTGCATCAGCCTTATGAGCTGCTGGGTTTACAAGTGTGTGCCACAGCTCCTGGCTCTAGGAACGTTTTTAAATACAGATTTTAATTTTAATAGATGTAGAGCTATAGATGATACCTATTTTCAGAGGAAGAGTGCCTCCCACTTTTACTGTCATACTTGGGTGATTATCTCCCTGAGGAGTGACATCAGAAAATTAATATTATGTGTGTGGGGTAGTACACAGATCAGAGCAATTTATTAAAGTCTCCAGTTTCCAATCAGGAATTATGATGCATGCAAAGAAACAAGAAACTATTATCTCCTA